ATGTTTGGTGGATGTTGGGTCATGGTTTGGTGGATGTTGGTTCGATGATTGGTGGATGATGGGTCGATGTTTGGTGGATGTTGGGTCATGGTTTGGTGGATGTTGGGTCATGGTTTGATGGATGTTTTGCCGATGTTTGGTGGATGTTGGGTCATGGTTTGGTGGATGTTGGTTCGATGTTTGGTGGATGATGGGTCGTGGTTTGGTGGATGTTGTGCCAATGTTTGGTGGTTGTTGGGTCGTGGTTTGGAGGATGTTGTGTCGATGTTTGGTGGATATTGGGTCATGGTTTGGTGGATGTTGGTTCGATGTTTGGTGGATGATGGGTCGTGGTTTGGTGGATGTTGTGCCGATGTTTGGTGGATGTTGGGTCATGGTTTGGTGGATGTTGGTTCGATGTTTGGTGGATTATGGGTCGTAGTTTGGTGGATGTTGTGCCAATGTTTGGTGGTTGTTGGGTCGTGGTTTGGTGGATGTTGGATCAATGTTTGGTGGATGGTTGCATGGAATCCTATTGTTTAACGGAAGCAGGGCACTAGATTGTCTTAGCTACATAAGATCATTTTACCTTGTAGCTATATTGTCCACTTTCTTTCAGGAAGAAATAAAATGTTTAACGACGTTAAACATTGGGAGTGTGGTAAACCGTCTAATTTCATGGTCGTGGAATAACTTCCGTGAGCTTTGTGATGGCCAGGAGTTTTTCTCTACTTCATTTTAGCACATATAACTTGTGCATTTAGGATGYAAAACCATGAGTACATTGGTTACGGTGGTCTCCATACTAGCTGATACACACCAACCTTCATGGGATTATAAGAAGCAAGGTAGAATAAGTTAACAGTAACACAGGAGGAACAATACAAAACATGACTCAKACCCTAACAAATGATTTATGTCATAGCCAGCATTAATGTTTCAACCCTCAGAACCACTATAGTTCTTACATTAAAACACATTATCATTGTCTTATACCAGGAAGAAAATAAGACTTGATAAATATTGATCAAGGGAGTTTACAGGTCCACCAAGGTGGTTTGTACTTAGGACACAGAATATATGCTTCACTCCAGGTCCAAGGAGTCAACAATCAGAGCTTTAACAGCCTGTGAGTCCCTCTAGTGGATTTTGTGGAGTATTGTGTTGTCTTTGCAGGTTTTTGGAAAGAGTTTAGCTGTTTCCTGTCACTGTGGGCTGCACAGCACAGTAGTACACAGCAGAGTCTGTCTCTGCAGCAGAGGAGATCTCCATGTTTATCTGGTTGCTGCTGGCTTTCATCTTCAGTCCGTTCCTTGTTTTAGTTGCTACAACTCCTGAAGGGGAATGAGAGATCAGGATCTCCGGAGGTTTATCTAGAAATTTTCGATACCAGAAGAAGAATGAATCTAATGATTGTTTGGGACAGGACAGAGTGACAGAGCTGCCTTCTAAACTGGAAACTTCATCCTTYACTGCAGTCAGTTCTTCACAGCTGACTCCTGAAACAAGACAAATGAATTTATTTGAGCATAAAAGCTTTTCTTTTTGAGTCAGGCGTGTAAAAGTATGAAATTAAAGACGTGGGACAGAAGACACTCAGAAAGAGAATTATGAATAATACGTGTTTGAAGAAGAAACATGTTGAGCTTTTTATCTTACCAAAGAAAAGAGCAACAAGAATAATCCACAGCCAATGTTCCATCTGTACAACAAGGTTTAAATCAACAGGAGAAACTAGCTGATGTTCAACATTCAGTCTGACAATTGTTGTCTTCACAGCACCACTTCTTATTGACACAATGCTTGAACACAGTGCAGAAGTAGTGCAGCGCCTACTTCATCATGTCGCCCTCTAGTGGAGGGAAACACTGGACTCCAACAGGGGGAGGAAAGTCTTCCAGCAGCTTGGCAGTGGGACAGATGG